GAATAATAAATCTCTAAGAGATAAAACCATCGTTGCCAGGAATAGCTCAAGGAAACTCTGAAAGGTGTGTATCCCAGAACAGAATATACACCAGAAACGTAAACAAAGTATTTAGGAAAAAACTGAATATGGTAGACCAGAACAGAAACAAGACATGATACTGTCAGAACTTAAACACAAGCATACTGAAAATTAAATGTTTGTGAAAGCCTAGTGCTAAGAAATTTTAGCAAATTCTTTTAATGTGGCACTAAACTGATGTACAATTAAGTAATTCTTACTAAATGCCACGAAATTTACTATGGAAGTGAAATGCTTAATAGTGGCACTGAAATTGCCAACATACACAGGACACTGACATCTACCACCACAGTTCAGAGAGTTGCCTTTCATGTCTAAGTGCACTTAAAAACAAATAGATGAGCTGTTAGAAAAAAATGTTGTGAGACCACTTGATATAAAGGGTTTTGCCCACTGAAAGCTTCAGATATAAAACAAAGCAAATTAAGTTAAATCCCCTATTCTCAGTAAATTAAAAAAAAAAAAAAACAACCCACCCTGCTTTGAAGAGCCTTATAATGACCCAATTAACTGGACAAGTGCACACAAACCCAGTGAAGTATAACTTCAGCCTTGAGTATAATTTGATGAGCATAATGCAGACCAGCTGCATATTGCAGTACTCATCAAAAGACAGAGTAAGATACTAAGATCAAATACCAATAGAAAACATCAAACTACTGTTTTCACTCATTATCTGCTCTTACCCTGCTGGTTACTGTCATATTTCTTTCCTACCACAAAGGCTTAGAAGTTCTTAAAGGGGTTAATATTAATTGCTAGGAGCAAGTATTAGAGATTTGTGCTTTGAAACATGTATGATTTCAGATGGAAATCTTACTGTAGGCACTAATGAACAACACAATGGAAGTTTGTGGTTTAGATTTTATTTCCATATTAAAAAGACATTGATGAAGTTTAGGCAAATCTTAACCGTAGATTTTTTTTTTACATGATTAACTGATGAAATTTAATTTTCTGAAGGCAGTGTAGGATTGAAATTTAATTTTCTGAGGGTAGTGTGGGATTAGATGTGACTGTTCAAAGTTTACAGATTAGATTTGAAGTGTTTCACACTGACTCCACTTGAGCAGCTTGAGTACTCTACACCTCTAAGGCACTCCAGTTTATTGCCTAAATCTCCTGACAGATTGCCATTTATTCTACCCATCAGGTTACTCTGTGCTACAGAAAAAATGAAAAGTACCTCTGTCCTGTTGGGCTGGCCCTAGGTTAGCAATACAATGTCCCTATGAAGGAACTTGAATAACTTTGTGCCCTTCTGTGGGCTATCAGCATTTCCTGCTCCCCAGGTCAAACCACCTTCCTCACCTCCTTTCTGCCCCTCAATTTATCCTCATTAGAAGCTGCTCCCCCACATTCCACCTTTTAGACTAAATGTTCCAGCACACAACCTGCATTGCACGTGTCCCTCATACTACTGAGTAATACTGAAGCCAGCACTAAGTGCTGATACAGAAACATCATATCTATTCAGACCTCAGGGGAAAGGAAAAAATTCTTGACTGAACTAGCTAACTGTAATCTTTCAGTGTACTGGAAGACATTAAGTCACACTGGAATGGAAAGTTTTTCTCAAGGCATGGCAAGATGCTTGTGGCTTACATGCCAGGGAATCCCCTGTGATAAAAACCAGAAGTTCTTGAAAAATATTTTCTGTGAGTTTTATTTCTTTAAACAATAAAAAAGAAATCTTGTTAAGAGCTGCAAAGTGCGAGTACTGAGTACATTTAACCCCTGGGAAAAGTCACCATATGTATTTTCCATACATAAATACATGGAGGAGAATACATTCTCAAGATGAATTATTACTATGATATACTCAACCTTTAAAAATGTAAAACCAGTAAAATTGGATTGATCAATACGATATGCACTGACCTGAGTAAGATCTGGAATGTCACCCTGATCAATTCCAACTTGCTAGGTTTACCAAAAAAAAAGAAGAAAAAGTACATTACTGTATGCAGTGGCAATGAAAATAAACAGTGATGTCTGAGTGTTACACAGAAGCTAACATATTAAAAACTGGTACAAGTTTCACTAGGAACACACCTTAGAAATCACAAGCGCATTAAATTGCATCTCAAAGCAAGCCTGACTTTTTATCAAGTAGAAAAGCTTACAGGGAGCATTAGAAGCACCCACATTGCTTACTGAATTACCACAGTAAAGGAAAGCACTGTAAATAGACTGTAACATTCAGTTCATATATTTTAGACCATTCATTGAATTTATAACAACACTTAAGTTTACTATGTCTTCTGGCTAATAAAAAGAATAGCCAAGAATCTCACTCCATGTTAATGAGTGTTTACAATATTTAAAATATCTAATCTGCAGAATACTTCCTTGTATAGCAAAGTTAAGCAAACATTAATCTGTGAAGCAGGTATAAATGCAGACTACTGTACCAGTACAGACAGCTAAATCATGTCCTTTCCATAGATGTAGATTTATTTACCTCTGCTACTTTGAGAAATTCTGACAATTTGGTCATTCTGGCTAGAAATTTTTTGTAAATATCCAAGCCTTCTTTGCACTGGTTCTTCTTCATATCAAAATATCTTTCTGAGGATGCAAAGAAAACTCTTGTAAGATAACAGCCTCCCCAGCAAAAAGCTGACACAGTATGATGAAAGTTAATTTGAGACAAGCTTCAGGAAGAGAACACACAGGAGTAACTAAAAGCTATTCAGATTTTAAAGTTTATATGAATACCTGACACCTCTTGTATTTAGTCAGTCAACAGAAAAACATTGATTTTTCTATTTCAGTATATTGGAATATAATGCAAAGCTTTATTAAGCATGGATGCAATCACTGCAATTGTCAAATTAGGTATTTAGGGGAATATTTTCAAAAATTCGGCTTATTACCTGGCAATGAGGCAAATTATTTTATCATCTGAAATATTCCTGGTATGTCTTTACATTTTTAGATCTTGTACACTTTTGATCAATACACTTTGATGTTTGTAAATTTGGCTCAATATCCAAAAGACATCAGAATGGATACTGAGGTGGTCCATACACTGAATTGGCCTCCCAAAAGGAGTATCAACCACACCTTTCACTTTTTATGGTTTTGCCCTATATACTTACAGATATTTCATTGAATAAAAACTAATGGATTAACAGAACAAACTGATCAGATGTTTTCATTCAGAAATTTGCCTGAATAGTCATTATAAGGCTTTGCTAAGATCTTATCACTCTTGAACAAAAACCCCTACATGTCACCTACTAGGCTCATGCAGATTCAGGTACCAGTGAACAGTCAAGCTATAAAGAAAGTATGGGAAACCAGAAGTCAGTCATACTGTGACTATACTAAATAATCAAAATACCAGGTATCTCACTAATACTTTTACAATCCGACTGCCAAAGGTTAGCCACTGCATGTTTAGGGTATCTTTGTTTTAGTCTCAGTTGCCCTCTCATCTCAATTTCTGTTTCAAGGTGTATCCTTCAAGGCAGAAGTGTATGTTTAAGCCTATGCTAGTTGTTACTGAAACTAAGACAGGCTTAATTTAATGGTAATGGAGCAGAGACAATTTATTAGGAAATTACAGTCAGAAATGGTCTATATTTTTAAGTTCTCTCAATATCGTTCACAAAAGTTCAAAAGCTAATAAAAATTCACATACCTAAAAGATTAATAATCCCCTCATTGTACGCTGCAAAAAGTCTAATGGAATCTTTAAAGAGGAGCATAAAGGCAGCATTTATAACACCATTAGTTAGTTCATTTGGATTTGCCTGTGTAGAAAGCAATGAGAAAGCAAATTAGTATTTAATAAAATAATGAAACTCTCACTTCAAAATGAGAAGTGTGTTACCTGACACAGTGTGAAGTACTTACATCAAAATCAAGGAGTGCATCAAGCTGGTTCTGTATTATTGGAAGGGTTTTCAGAAGCTTTTCAGCATTCATGGTTCTCATCACTCCATCTATCCTACAGAGTAGAAGACACACGTTTACTAGTTACCAAGAGACCTCAGTATATTGTGCTGTTTCAAAAATACTATATTGCTTCAAAGGGTCAAAATGAACACCAATCTATGACAAGCTCAAGAACAACTGGTATTTCCCTCCCCACCAATATGAAAGACCAAACAAAAGAAGTAGCAACAGTCTTACCCTCTTTTCATTTTGGTGAAGTCAACTGCTACAAGTCTATATGAAAGTGCTTTTTCATTCAAGTATCTGCTATATCGCCTAATGAAGGTAGACATATCATAGCCTAAAAGTTAAGCATTTTTACGTTAGACATTTTGAAGGGGTACAGTTTCTTCTAAGTTCTGTTCAAGAACTATTCTCCTACTAGCCAATTATACATCAGCTTGCATGAAAAGCCCTTCATAGACACATTCCAGAGTCTTGACATTCACTATATTTCATCTTGAGAAGTAATGTTACAGTTTCTTCCCAACTTGCTAAGATTAGGAAAGCATTCATTACAATTATTAGAATAAACACGTAAACACATTAAAATATTAGGCAAGAACCAAGGAGCTTTTATTAAGATCTTCTTGAAATTAGACTAAAAAGTATTCCTAGTAAAATGCCGAAGACTTTGGTAACTTATCTGCATTGCCTCAAAAAACACATAAAGATCCAAAAATGTTTTCTACCACTGGCAAGTACTTAAAAGGCTTCTCAGAGATTTGAAGGAGTTATCACTATTTATACAGCACATCCTAGTTATGACTCCATTCACTTTAACAGTAAACATTTACTCCTGAGACACTAAAAAGCAAAGGCAAAAATAGATAATTGTGCCAATATTCATCAGGTTTATTCTAGTAGGTATTAAAGAGTTCACTTTTTAAAATGTACAGCTGTGTATGCACATGATACATTACAGACAGAAGTCTAGCAGTCAGCCAGGTAACTCACTCTTACTTTCCTTGTGTCTGCATTCTTGGCTGGACATTCTTTGGTGTCTCACACAATATAAATCTTAATACCCTTTCATTTACATGTCATTTGTCTCCTAGAGTGCACTGCCACAGAGCAAAAAAGCAGCAGAGTTATTCCCTTCAGTGAAAGATCCTTACCCTGCATGGCACTTTTGTCCAGGTAGTTATTTAAATTGAACAAAGTGTTTCGGGATGCAAGATACTGGATAAAGCGCTGTTGGTGAAGAAAAAGTTGAGAATATAATTGTTGTGAGAGTCGAAACATTTAAGCATACTACAAGAAAACTACACTTACCTTCTAACTAATTCCAGTAACCTCTATCAACAACAGAAATTAGAAGGCAAAAATTTAAAGGAAAACTTGAAACTACCAATTAGCAACACCTCTGAAATCCAGAGCTCTATTTGGCAAAAATACAAATTTAAACTAAATAAAGACATCATTGCCCGTAAATAAAAGATTAATAATCCTAGAGGAAGCTGCTTAGGTTAACTTTGTCGTTTAGAACAGACAAGCTGGAAAACACAGAACAAAAATACCACTTGCACTATCCAAGTTAACAAGGTTTGCATATTGTTACTGCTGTTGTAGAAGTGTGAGACAGGCTTAGTTACAAAGTTTAAAAGTAATTAGTAACAATAATGCTTCTGAAATTGTGGTGAGCAGCACAATATATATACTGTGGGGTTATAAACATATATATTTTTATAATGCAGTGATCTGACTAAACAACATTTAAGTTTTCACAAATAATAGCTGGCTCCATAAACAGTGCAGGAGTAACAGTCAACCACATCCAGATAGCAAGGTAGTTTTAAAAGTTTCTCTGCCACTTTTCCATACAGATCTTCTATAATCGTTATTTCTTCACTTTTTTGTATGTGTTTTAGTCCATAAATGAAGATTATAATCAGTATCGCTTAAAGGACTTGTTACAACTTTGATCTGAAACCCTCTGCTGCCACAGCACGCAGGACCTGTTCCTTCACTCTGCGTGGTGGAAATCCACCTGTGTGCCAGGTTTGGACCATCCTGCTCCACTAAACTGGCCTTTTTCAGTCAGGCTCAGCAGAGCACCTGCTCCCTGGGAACTGTAACAAGGGCGCAGCACAGCAACAAGAAAATCCTTCTCACCAGTACTATTTAAACTGAAAGCAGTACTTTCACCCTCCAAGGGGCCCAAATGATCCCCCAACTTGTCACGTACCACCTCATCAGTAACTCCATATGTGTTCTCAGCCTATAGCTACGAAGTTCACACAAGTCTGCAACACGCAGCTTGTCTACCAACAGCTCTGGCACTGTTTTAACTTCTTATTCTGTTTTCCAGTCGGCTTATCTGGTCTTTGTACATCTTAGTACTGCATTCAAAGAGATACAGAAGAAGAGAAACAGTTGGAACACGATCAGGAACAGAACAGTGATATTCAAAAGGTGTCTATGCACATTTCAAAATTAGCTACTGTTCTGAATCTCATTTTAAAAGGGCCAAGGCTAACTCTCACTCTCCAGATGTCAGGGGTTTTGCACTGCACAATGGGCTGTATGGGCAAACAGATACTGACTGTAGCCCACAGCTTGAAGTTTTGATTTTTTCTATGGTTCGGTTGTCTGCTTTTTTTTTTCCCTTCCAAGTTTCAGTGTATAGATATAAACTGTAACGGAAGAAGAGAGAATAAAATATAGAAACTGATTTACAGCATTCAGTTTACTTTTACACTTGGAATAAGCAGTGAATTCCAAGTAGTGCATTTTACTTTGTAGTATCCTCAGATTTCGGCCTATTATCTGTTGAAACTACAATTTAAGCACGTAAATGGTTTGGGGAAGTGTTAACAAAGAGCACGCTATGTTTTACAGGTCATTTCAATTAAGTTCACAGAGCTTTGGAGAGAGGAGACAACACCAGGTTTTTCAGACCAGTGTAATGACTGGAAGCAGTTATCTTTAAGAATCAACTTTTCAATATTATCAGTAGTCAACAGTCATTTATTAGGAGAATGCTTACACTCAAGTTCAGGACTAAACGGTCACCTGACCAAGACAAAGTTTAGTTTTTAATGCAAAGACTAAGAGAGGCTGAATTTCTAATGCTATGTTATTGTCTGGGAAGCTTTTCATAAAAAGTGATTAAATAATTTAAGTGAACTAAATGCAACAGAAACCTGTTTTGGAAGAACGTTCATGACAACAATATATGAAGATTTAGCCCATCAGATGATGATTTGCAAGATCAAATATTGTAGTCACCATATTCCTCCCCCCTTTAGTAATTATTCTTATCTGTTAATAGGTTGGCTGCACATTTACGGAGTGCTAACAACGCTTTTGCTGTGCTCTAACTGATAATGACTAGCCTAATGAAGTAAAGCTCATCACAAGTTTTTCAAGTCTCTATTCTATAAAGGTCACTCACTATTCCCTCACAGCCCAACCCAGGTACCTGCGTGTAAATTGCAAACACTGATATATTTCAGTATTGAAATAATGAAGGAGTATTTTCTTCTCCAGAGAAGTACTTTACAACCATCAGCAGAGGAAAAACAAAGACCTCTGAAAAACTGAAAGTACACATCTAATGCTTCATGGATTGAGACAGTTTAAAACACTGACAAGGAGGCTTTAACAGAACTAATCATGTCTTACCTCGTTTCCATACATCATGAGGTGGTGTGTTGTAATTAGAGCTTTGAACACTACAACCCAACTACTGTTTGCAGTTCTCTCGAAGAGTGTGTCTGCCAACTGTGGAATATTCACATTCATTTCATTCGTGCACTGTATTAGATCTAAATTAAAGAAAAAAAAAAGGCAAGGCATTACAATGAGTCATATGCTCAAAGAGGATCATCATGTTATTTAGTGTTTTAAGGCTTCCAGTATGAATTCTCAATGTTAACTTCAGTTCTTTGTTTAAGAAATAATTGAGCTATTTTACATTCCTCGCTCAAATGCACTGTATTTCACTGAAAGACTACAAGTATGAACTTCAAAGGCATTTCAACAATTTTATGGAATCCCAACATCTCATCAATGAATAATGTGCTCCAGTAGAAACTCTATCCCCAAATTATTGTCTAAAAGCCAGTGCAAACCTTCTGGACGCTCAATACCTGAAGCCACTCAATCTAACAAAAAACATATATAAATCAGAGAAGGAAGGAAAAGCTGACACATCTATATACCTCATGAGATCAACAGGCAGCAAGCACCCTGCAATGCTGCCCTAAGCCTGAGCACTGACACACGACAGCAAATGAGATGCTACAAACCTGCAATAAGCCTCTTTTCTAGAGGAATTAAGAGCAAGAATTTGCATCTACACACCTTTCCACTTGGCTAAAATAACCTAATCACCAACCTACTGAGTATTTTGTGGTGGATCGTGGCAGGTCTCAGGCTTTTGTATAAAAAAAGCTCTTTGTGAACAAGACTGATTACAAGCTCAGTAGTAGAACATTAACTTGGTGGGTCAGAGATAGAAAGCTTAAGCCTGTGCCTGAGTACTGGTACAAAACCAGAACAGGCTCCAGCAGAGACATGGGAAACAAGCCTGCCTGAGAATGCTACTGAAGGCACATGCTGAGAGGAGAGCAAAGAACTGAACCCAGGACTTCAGTTTCTTCTCTCTGAGCTAAATTTGGCTCAGGTGTGATCAAAGTACACCTTAAGGACTAGGCAAGGCCAGTAAAACAAACATTTCATTTGAAAAGGTTCCTTTGTGGTCTTTTATTTAAGCCAAGCCTGTGAGCAGGCTGTTGGCTGCAGAGCAGCATTGCTGTTTCTGTGGTTTGCCTGGGTAAGTACTTGAAGAAGGGTGGGTGCTTGGGAAGTTGGGAAGCTGTTACTGCCAAGTGACAGTAACAGGGCGGAAGATGATAGACCTCTGTTGCATTTGAGAAGCTCGTATGCCATCGTTTTATTTCGCAAGTGTGGTCCCACGTGACTGAAAAATGCAGTTCCAGTAATTCTGTAGAAGTGCTAGTAAGGTTCTCCAGCGTGTGCTACTTACTTGCTGCTGTAAGATGGGAGCCTGACCACGTTAAAAGGCAACCAAAAGGAAGTATTTCACATCTGCAGGGGTACGCAGAGACTAAATCAAGCTGTGCTTGAGCTGAGAGGAGCCTGAGCAAGCTGCAAGTCCCACGCACGTTAGACACATGCTGAAGACAAGACTACTTTTATTGAGGGCACTCAGCACTATCGTACTCTTTGGTTTAAAAGTCTCCTGGAATGCACAAACACATAAGCCATAGTTGCCAATACAGAAGAACACATGCTTAGGCAAACAAAATGTCTCTCAAATACTAAACTAAGAATGAACTGGAAAAAAATCTCAGTACATTTTATAGGCCAAAACTGGACTTTCCTAAGAGTGTACTGCAAAAACTTAAGTTTAAAAAGACTCTTCAATAAGACTACTCAGGGAAATTTTTTACTTATTATTTTACAACTAGCAGTAATAAAGGTAGCACCACATTTGAATTCTAGCAATTGAGACACGTAACAAAAAAACCCAAGTGTTTTTTCTCTAATACGATTCTATTAAGTCTGCAATAGGAAAATCTACACACAAACAACTGCACAGATCTGTTACAACTGGCAGCAAAGGAGGAAGAGGCTATTAACACCACACATCTGGAAGTATAAAGGAACACATGCACCTGAGAGACTGACAGCTGGACAACTGTAATATGGATGTTGGCAGCAAAAACCTGAATGAAACGTGCAGGGCAAGTGATGCTCATTTTCTTATCGCACTACTTATATAAACATTTTACAACTCAAAGCATTTTGCCAGTTACCCAGGGCAATAATTGTAACTGCGAGGGCTGAACTGTGGTGCTATTCCTAGGATGGAATTTAGAAACATGTTAACATCACACGGGGAAAAATCAAACACCTTTAAACTAGAAGAGTACCATGGGGGTTTTCAAGTAGCCTGGAAAAGCTGTGGAAACCTTACTGCCTAGAAGAGTACTGAGGATTTATCTTCCACAGCTCATCTGAAATCCTGGCATATCATCTATGAAACCATGCAGCTCTTCAGAGAACAGCATGCATGAATCCAGATATTTGAAAAAAAAAAAAATAAAATAAAAAAAATCAGGTTTTTGGAAAATTCTCAGCCAGGCACCAAGAAAAAGACTACTTCCCTGAGTAGTCTTATTGATATACTTCTCAACTTTCAAGTGACAAGAAACTCATCATTTTCTTGATTCAGGAATATCTCTCTCAAGAGAACTGTAAATACATAAGTCAAAGACAACCATAACAGTTTGAAGTTCCCATGTTTCTTCCACTGTCACAGGACTGAAACTGCTCTAAGACAGATATAAAAATTAAGACCACTTTCCTTAACCCCAGTCTTGGAAACAAAAAAATTACTTTAAAAAAAAAAACAAACAACAAATACACACTGTAAACTATAGATTACAAAAACATAAAACAGAAGATCCACTTCATCAGACTTTCTCAATTTAGCCTAAGGAATGCAACAATGCTTGCTGGAAAAAGTAATTAAAAGATAGCACCTGACTTAATACAAATATTCTTATGCCTGTGTGCTCTTACAATGCATATTTGATACCAATCTTTAATTTATATAATAGCTAAATCTGAACTCAGAGTGACTTCATCAGAAGCAAAGCAGTTCCGCTATTCACTCCCTCACTAGACAAGGATACATGACAGCCCATAAAGTTTTAGAAAAAGCCTTAAGCCATTTCTAAATAAAAACCGCATTTATAGATTACAAGAACATTAACTATTTTTTTATTGTTCAAATCAAATTTCCTCAATTACTGTATTAAAAAGCTTCATAGATTACTAAAGAGTTTCAAATTAAAGACAGCCACCTGTGGATGAGTTCAAGAGTATTTCTTCATACTGTACCACAACTTCTGTATCTCTGCAAGGACCACACGGCATCAGCATTCACCTGACAGTCAGGAACTCCAGCTGCCAACAGCAAGAACGGGCAGATACAAAAACCCAGAACTCTGATAGTCATAATGTGATATTATTGGCAAAACTTAGTCTGTGACGATTTGGTGGAGACCTGAACTTTCTCCTAAAGCAAAAGGCTTAGAAGTCTATTTCTGTTACACAGTACAATTTCACAGTACCTGAATTACCACTTCTCACAAGACTTCCAAAGCTTGTATATGAACAGGAGTTTTAAGTTTTGATGAGTAACATTAACTATTTTCCCTCACCTGTGCTTCTTAAGTGGGCAGTATACAAGTTAAACAGGAGATTTTTCTCTTTATTACCATGTTCATTTAAAAGTTTAAGATGTAATTAACCTGGGATTTTTTATTTTTCTAAATTTTGGTCTACACACAAGTCTACTCTGCCACCTACAAGCCTGGCTACGGCTTTGTTTTTTTTTCCATTATGGCTTTTCAGTAGTTAGCCAAGAAGAGATACATCACCAAAAGCAGCATCTAGCCCCACTCCACTGCAACCCAAACTCCAGAGGCTGAGGTGAAGTGAGAGAACCCACACTGGGGGAGAGACAAAACCTTCAGGTGATCCACCAAGAGAAAAGATCAGCCTCTATGTAACATTTTATGTTATCCTAAAATATTACAAAATACTACAGAAATAGATCTGCTGACTTATTTAGGACATCATGACCTACTTTAAAAGGAAAAAATCCCAAGTATTTCCACTGACATTGCTTAGGGGTTTTTGTGTGTTTGTGTGTGGTTTTCTTCACTCTTCAAGAAAAATATGACTATACTACTCAGCAGTTAGTAGCCAGACAAAACTCAAGATCCTTAAACATTAGTTCACACACTGCATGTGTAACACCTTCCTGTAAATACTCATATTGTAATATTATAGTTTTTCTTGCTGAGGAAACTTGGCAATAAGGGGATCTTAAGAATTAATCCAAATAGCGTGCACAAACTGATACTCCTCCATGATCCCTCATACAACTACAGCAACTCTCAAAACACATGTTCTTGGTGAAGCTTTTTCTTGAGCAGCAATTACAAGTAATACCAGATGGTGTAGCATTTTGAATGACACACACATGTAGCGACCAAAGTGCAACTAGCTGCGTGTTGCATTAAATCTAAGCTACGTTTTCCTTCATAATTTACTTAAAATGGAAAGTATGTGCACTGTATCTTTGAAAATACACTGTGTGATTTTTCCAGAGATTACAGTAGTTAAACTAATACCTTACCTGCTTGCATTTAATACAAGTAAGTTTTGTGTACAAGTGAAAAAAATAATGAGTGTCATACAAAGGCTTACAGATGTTTGAAAAGCAGTGCCTGGGTACACTCAATGAAGCCTGGAGAATGTTCACTGGGATTTTTTTTTTGTTTAACCCCTTAAAGAGATACTTGTGGCACCATATTTCACATCTTTTTTCCCCATCCCACCAATGCATTCCTCTATTTCAGATACCAAGATAAAACAACAGGTTTTTTGTTTGTCTTAGACCAAAGTCTGAGAAAAGGAATTACACCAAAACACAGAACTCCTCTGGCACAGAAGAGGATTTTCAGGAGACTGACAGCTCTAAACAGGTTTGTATCAAAAGACAACCTCAGTTTATACTATTCTCAAGTTAAGAGTTTTTCCAAGTTCCCATTTTCTTATTTTGTGAGGGTAACTTATAGTAGATGACATTATTTTAAGGATATTTTCAAAGAATACACTGTATCTTTTAAGATTCAGAGGTTTTCAAACTATTGAGCAAGCTGTCACCACTTTCTGGCTTCCTGTTATGTTGCCATTTCTAGCACTAAGGGTTACCT